AGCTCAATGCCCCTTTCTTCATCTCATTATTTTACCTCTTTTTTCGTCATAAGTTTCATTTGCACCAACCCAATAATTTGCTACTTTTTCTTGATTAACTGAGTATTTAGCCGTTTTTTTTGATTTCTTACGTCATTTTTGGACACATCAATTTCCTTTACGAACTCCAAGTGAGAAAGGGGTCTCCAATTCCAAATCTCGTCACCATTTTGTGGACTTCATTTGTTCTCCCATAAAGACCGCATTTCCGTATTTTTTGCTCCTTGAAACGGTTTTTTGCATCAAATTTCTTGATCAGCTTTTGAACTATTAGGTTGTCCCATAAAAACCCAGAGATTTTGAATTTCATTTATTTTCAGCACATAGAAACAACGAAGAATCAGAATCAAATTATATATTTTCCAGATGAATTTATAACTTTTCTCCAACGTTTGGGTAGCTTGCCAATCCCTCGTTCGTAAAACCCAAGCGGGCGCGAACGAAAATAGTCGTTCAATTCGTCCTCGAGTTCGCTCTCATCTTTGAACTTTTTTACCACGTAAGAAATGCTTTAGCGCCAAGAACAAGTGATAGTCAGAAGGGGCAACGTCCGGAGAATATGGTGCATGAGGAAGGATATTCCAGTGTAGGTTGTCCTTCACAAAATCGATCGATCTTTCTGATTTGTGGGAGCTTGCGCCACTCTGAAGAACGAAAACGGGACCGTTCCATTTGTTTTCATAGAGTAACCTTCCGACTTTTTGTTTCACTTTTTCATATGATATATTAGGTTGTTCGGATATAAACGAGCGTTTTAGTAGTCGACAAAATTTACCTTAAAAACAGAAACAACACAGTTTAATCCAAGTATATTCACCATTATTATTGATTGCTTCTTGCCATCTTTTGCGCAAAGAATTGATGCCGCTCTTGAAAAACTCAGCCGGCTGTGACTCGAAAAGCTTGGCGACCCAATTTTGGACATCTTCACGGTTTTGAATTTCTCATTGGCCAAAAAGTTTTGAATCGACCGGAATCAATGGTAATCAGAGGGAGCCAAATCGGGAGCATACGGCGGATGTGGTAAAACCTCCCATCCTAGATTCTCCAGTTTTTGCTGAGTCATCTTTTGCAACGTGAGGCCCAGTTACATTTGAATTCTAAAATTGAGTTTTATTTAGAATAATGAAAAAGTGTTCATTTCCCTTTTTCCTTCTTGCTTTCCTTTTGCTGATGCTGTTGTGGTTGTGGAAAGTCGACTTGGGAATGTTAACTGAATGGCTTGAAATAGAAGATGATGAAGACAATCAAACATTGGGTGAAATGTTATTGCAACAGAAATACTGTTCGTATACTGCCCGAGAGCATTTCTCATTTTCATTTCAGCGCTTTCAACCCTTCTCTTCAACAATCACTCCGAAGAACGCATGTCCACGAGAGATCAAGGTGGGATTTAACTCAAAACTCTATCAATTGGCCTTTAAAAGCAACCAAGTTAGACCCTATCTGTCATCCATTCTTCAAGTCGAAATCACCTTCATAAATAACATTCATAAATAGCCCACGTAAAGAGCCCTTTTTGCCTCGGGCCCTGGCTTTTCGAGAAAAGCGCATGCAAAGTTCCGGTCATTTTCGGCGAACTCTCACCTCACCTATAAGGGAAGAACAGCAGCGGCGGTCTAGGGACTGCGTTAGGCTATCAAAATAATGCAATTTTTTTCCTGGGTTCGATTCCTCTCACGGCCCTACTTTTTGGCTTTTCTTTTTGCAAAACTTCCGCAAAACATTTTTTTCGAGTTCCTAAAGTGTTTGCTTTTAGCTTTTTCAGTCTTTTTCTTTTTGAACTATTAGGTTGAGGGAAAAGTCAGTTTGTCAGTTTGTCAGTTTTTTCACAAAACTGTTTATTGCTAAAGACATAAAAAAGGACATCAATCAATGAGATCTCTCCATTATTATTGATGGCTTGTTCCCATCTTCGTCGCAAGTCCCTGATCCCATCCTCGAAAAATGGGGGAGTTTAGAGCCAAAATAAATGTCGACTGCTTTTTTGATCTGTGCATGATTCTCTAGCTTTTCTCACATCAGAAGACTCTTCAACAACCGAAACAAAAATAATCTGATGGGGCCAAATCGGGACTATAAGGTGCGTGGGGTAGAAGTTTCCAACCAAGCTCGTCGATTTTTTTGGTGAGTGATTTTTGCACTGTGATGTTTTGCATTATCAATAGCACTTTTTGATGTTTCAACGCCCAATTTCTTTAAAGCTTCGTTAACCCTCATCAACTGTTTTGAATAACGATCAGCGGTGACAGTTTCCCCCGGATTCAACAACTCATAATACACCAAACCTTTTGTATTCCACCAACAGCAAAGCATAAGTCTCTTTTTTTATGACGAAAAATAGGTAAAATAATGAGATGAAGAAAGGAGCGTTCAGCTAGTATCACCAGAATGAAAAAATGTTTAAAAAAGGTGTAAGCTTTAGCGTCGAAAATTTCTCAAAATGCACTCTCATAGGGGGTGGGACAAATGCGACCTTTTTTTGCGCACCTAGACATTTGCGCACCTTTTTTTGCTGGAAAAGGCCTTAGGAAAGGTCGTAGAGCTTCAAAAATATTATTCATATAAGGGAATCGTATGCGTAGATTCCGAATTTCGACAAATCACACCTTGCTGACACGTCAAATTTGGGCTAAAAGGCAAAAAGCTGCGGAAAAGCGTTAAGTTGCGTAGTTTTTGCCTTTTTAAAAAGTTTAAGAAAATTCAGACGAGCCATTATCTTATATTTCGCGTGCTCTTGAATTAGCCAATCTTACATTTTTCTATTTCTGCCACCCGTTCTCTTCTCTCGTGCAAAAACCACACTGTCCCTCCATAAAGCGCCTAGTTATATGCCTGTCTTGTATTCGAATCCTTTTCTTCCAAAAATTATCCTGTAAAACCGTTCTTTTTGTTTACGAGGACTCCTTCCCGCCTTAATCTTGCTCTTCTTAACATTTTATCTACTTAAACTCGTTTTTAATTTGGTTTTCAGAGAACGTCTGTTCAACCAGTCAACCCAAAGCCGTTCCTCAACGGACTCGCCGCAGAGCCAGTTGTGTGCAGATTCAAGTCGGGAATCGAATATCAAGGCGTCCTTATCTCGGTCGACGGTTACATGAATGTCCAGGTGGGGTTGTCTTTGTGTACAGTTTTTATGGCATAGCTTAAAGCTAGTTTGGAGAGGTACGTTCTGAATTTTGTTAGTTTTGATGTCGCTTGTGAACCGTCAGATATATGACGAGTAAGCTTGCTTAGGCCTAGGCATTCACAAATAAAATTTTCATCTTTTAGATGGCTAACGCGGAGGAATACATTGATGGAACAAACACTGGAGCTTTCGGAGAAATGTTAATAAGGTGATTAGTGTGACTTTTGTCTAATTTGTTTAAATCTGGATGCAACAACATCCTCTACATCGGAGGCGCCGAAGACTCGGACGTTTGATCGCCTAGTTTTCATTATTTATCATTTTGCTAACTTGTTGAGTGTGTAACGTTATGAGTGTGTATCTCTTCCGTATATTTTATGAATAAAGGTTAATTTTGTTCAGTTAATGGGACCGTGGCCGTGGGGACCATGAACGTTCACCAGAAAGCCGCAGAGGTGGCGACCGTTCACCGAAAAGGCGAAGACGGTTAGTCTTAAAAATCGCTTTGTTTACAGCTGATTGAGGTCACCATCTCCTAAACGTAAAGCTTCTCCAGAAAGACGAAGACGATAATAGAGCTTTGCACCTTTTTTTTGATGAAAATTATTTAGATCTCTATCACCAAGGCGTGATGACAGTCCTGAGCGGCGGAAACGTTTAGTTTAACCTGGGTTGCATTCAGTATTAGTAATTTAGGTCGCTAACACCAAAACGTGCTCGACTCGAAAGGAAAAAAAAAAAAGGAAGCTCTTCAAAAAGTATACAAGAAAACTTTGTTGAAGTAAATACATTTTAGGAAAAGAAAGAGCCTTTTGATTTATTGCGTTCTCGCACTGGAGGCGCATACATCCCACCAGCGAAGCTGAAGTTGATCGCAAGAACAAATCCAGGTAATGCATCAAATGATAACGTGACCACAGAAAAAATTTAGGACAAATCCGGGTGAGCAATTTCGACGATTGAATTGGGAGCGTCTGAGGAAAAGATCCACGGTCTCGTCAATAAAGTCAACGCCAGCAATCTTGTCGGAATTGTGCGAGAGCTTCTTCAAGAAAACATTATCCGTGGAAAGTTTGATTTCAGCATTTTCTCAAGTAAACGAAATTTTAGGGGTTTGCTGACTCGATCGATAATTCAAGCACAAGCCTTTTCTCCAACATTTTCACATGTATACGCTAGTTTGGTTGGAGTGATTAATTCCAAGTTTCTTGTTATTGGTGAATTGACACACTTAAGTATGTTTCACAGTTTTAGGCTTTAGGAATTATGTATTTAGGCGTTTGATTGTGCGGTTCAAGCGATCTTCTCGTCGAAACTACAAAGCAACAACGGTGACTTTCAGTAGATTTCTCGCACATTGGATCAATCAACAAATGGTATGCTGTTTTTCTTTGAATATGAATTCGATGCATATTTAGGCTCACGAGTTGCTTCCTCTTGAGATCATTCTTTTGATGCTTAAAACACCAACGGAAGATTGTGTGTATTGCTTTTCTGAAAGAATGTGGCGCGAAACTGACAGAGGTTTGCTTTATTTAGGAGCGCTTATTGAGGAATGATTTGTTAGATTGCCCCGCGTTCCTTGGACAATGTTTTCTCAAGACTTCGAAACATTCTTGCTGAAGCATAATTGGATTCACGTATCCGTTATATGATTGAAACTGCAATCGCAATCGGAGAGATAAATTTGCGGTCAGTTTTTAGTTCTATTGCCTGGCAAAGTTTATTCTTTAAGGACTACCCGACTTTAATTGATAAACTCGATCTTATTTCGGGAGGGGACCAAATTGCACATACACTTTCCCTTGAAGATGCTATCGATCCTGAAAATATGCTTAGTGGGTGAACTAAAAATTTAATTGTCGATCAACTTGGCTTTCAAACAAACTTTACAGACATTTTCAAATTGGATCCCGATTTTGAGAAAAATGATGCTGCCTGCGACGAGATCCGTGAACAAATCATTGGTGACGCCGGTGAAAGTGAAGAGGAATCAGAAGAAGGGGACGAAAAGGAAGAAGGTGACAAGGAGGCAGCTGCAAACGGTAGACATTCAATTTTGTCGATTTAAATTTTATAATATTACGATATTGATATTACGAAACTGAGGAATATGCGTCGTTGAATCAGTCATTTGCATTTCACAGATGCCATTACTTGAGATGTAAGTCTTTATGCGAAGATTAACTTTTTCGTATCCATATTTAAAGTGTTCAAATGTAGGTTTTGAGCGAGATCCATTTGAACGAGAATGAGACAACTTCTTCGGGCAGGATTTACATGAAAATCATTTTCCTTGAATCGGCTCAAATGATGGGACTTCCAAAGCTGTATGAAAGAATCTGTGATCCGTAAGTTTAGAGATTTTCTAGAATTCATTAATCTTTAGTACAGTCATGGACAAAAAGTCTTTTAACATTGGTTTTTAGAAGTGTGTTCTTTGTAAATCTTGGTCCAAATCCGAGCAATTTGCAAACGGTTAAAAGATTTAAAGAGCTTATTATCTCTTAAAGATGGATTTAACAATTTATCAGGTGTCATGAACTTTTTAATAAAACAAAAATTGGGCCAAAAATTGATGGCCTGATTGAATTGATTTTTTAAATTTTCTTGGAAATGGAAAAGTTCTTGAGCAGAGGAAACCCACCGATCTCAAAACAAATCTTGTTTTTCCGAAAATTGGACAGAATCTGTATCGAAAGTTCTGGGGGAATCGATCGAAATCATTTGATAATCTCTTTCGAGGAGCACAACAAATACGGACGATTGGAGAATCAATTCCTGTTCTCAACGAACACCATTACGGATCATCTTTCCAAAAAAATCGTCACATTGAGCCCTTTCAAACCGAAGTTCCTGTCATTTGTAAATCGTTATTTACTCAATTCAATTTACTGTACGGCAGATGTGAGCCAACTGTTGCATTCCCATTCCCCATTCCCCTCCTTTCTCTTTATTTTCCGTGGTAAGAAATCCCTATTTTGCTTGATAAAAAATTTCTTGTTTGATTTTGTCTTTTCTCATCAATTATGCCTCTTTAGTAGCTGTTTCCTTTAATTTTCACTCGTTCTTCGAGAAAATTCAGTCATTTTGTAGGCATCCAATCGTCTAGCAACCGAAATGGACAATCTCTTGAATCTTCCTTCTCGATGTCTTCAGAACATCTCTTCTTTCCAAATCTCCAGAAATGCCCGAAATGACTGAAGAATTGCCTGAAAAGAGTGTCAAACGCATAGAAGAATCGGCCATCTCGTTGAAGAAAATCGCCCAACTCGAAGCCGATTTGTGGGTGTTTCGCCAAATCTTTGCTTCTATCAAAAACAGTCTTTAATTTAATCGAAGAGTTTAGGGAAGAAATGAAAAAGGACAAAGACATCGAGATGAGTCGATGGACAGCAAAAATCGCTCAAATCGAGGCGAAGTTGGAGGCCGATTTCGTTGACGAAAGGGAGAGAAATCGAGAATTGAAAGGGAAAATCGCCGAGGCGAAAAGGAAGAACGACGATCTCGAGGCACAATTGTACTAATTTTGTAACTTTCTTTGCTGACAAGCTCAATATATGGTTTAGATGCGAACTTTTTTTCAGAAGAACTCGAAATACGGAAGTGAGGGAAGGAAAGACCAAGATTGGAGAGCTCGACGGGAAAATCAACGCGTTGCAGAGCAAAATCTCTGGCTTTGAGACCCAAATGTGAGTTTATTTGGTACCTCTTGTCGACTGAGACTTGAAAAAACAGTTTCTTCACTACCAAAACACCCATTCCCACTCAATCCAATCAGCTCCTCTCTAGACAATTTGAAAGGGAAAAAACGGCCGAAATCATGAAGTTGCGGGCAGATTTACGCATTTTTTAAGGAAAAGGATTTAGTATTTGTTCAAAAAATCTGGCTCATCTTTTCAGTGAATGTGAACAAAAGGAAAGAAGTGATGAATTCACAAAGATCAACTCGAAAATTTCGCAAAGTGATGATCGATCGACGAAGATTGGTGCTGATTTGAAAGAGATGTGAGTCTTGAGAGCCCTTAAAGAAATATATGAGGATGAAACACTTCTAGAGATTCCGAATTCGCCGAAATGTCAAGGAAAATGGCGAAGTTGGAGACTGATTTCGGTTGACGAAGGGGAGAGAAATCGAGAATTGGAAAGGAAAATCGCCGAGACGAAAAGGACGAACGACGATCTCGAAGCACAATTGTACTAATTTTGTAACTTTCTATTCTGACAGGCTCAACAGAAAATATAGATAAAAATCGATTTGTTTCTAGAAAAACTCAAAATTCCAAGATTTTAGAGATTCCCAAGTCGCCGAAATGTCAAGGACCATCTCCGCGAGAATGGCTCAAAACACGACGGATTTAATGGAGAAAATCACGAAGTTGGAGGCTGATTTGTGGGTTCAACAATATTAGAATCTAACTATTTCCTGTAGACTGAGACTTGAGAAAACAGTTTTTTTTGACTCTCAAAACACCTATTCCACTAACCAATCAATTCCTCTCTAGACAATTTGAAAGGATTGAAACAGTCGAAATCGCGAAGTTGTCAGGCAGATTTTGTGAGTTTTTAAGTAACGATTGAGTTCCTGGTCTAAAAATCTTGGAGTAAAGTTTTTCGAAGAAATTCAGAAATCGACCAATGACTTTCGGATCTGGATGGATGGTCAAACGCTTGGCCAAACCGCTTCTTGGTACAAGAAGGTTTGGCGGATGTCGTGAACCAGGATTATCTTCATCTCAAGGCTTTCGATCAAGAAATGACATTCGATGAAGCCGAGGCATATTGTACGAGTCGAAAGATCCATTTAGTCTCAATTCGCAGTCAGGAAGAGAACGATTTTATTCCCATATAGAACTCGGTAAGAAATCGAAATGATTCAATCCTGAAAATTCAGGGTTTTTGTAGAAATTTATGCTTTATAAACCAAAAACAACCGATATATATTTGGAAGCGGAAACTGTTCGTTCGGATTCTTTGTTCTGGATCGGACTGAAGGTAGAATTTTTCTTGTTGAAAGAAAAAGACCAATAGAAAGTGATGATTCCCTTCTCATCCCTTTTCGGTAGACTCTTTGTGAAAATATGATCTTCGTTTGACTGATAGTTCTTTGATAGAAATAAAGGTTTCAATTGAGAAATTTGAATAATTTCAATAATAAGAAAAAGGGAATATTCGATCGAAATATCAATGTTCACGCATAAAAATTAAAAAAATCAAAGATCAACGGTGAAACAGAAAAATTTCTTTATTCAGGAAAATCCGAACAAAGGAAATGCTTTTGAATGGACGGATGGAAGTTCGGGGGTTTTCAGGAATTGGCATCTTGGACAACCGGATCTGTACGCCCACGCTTTGGTGAGATTTTCTGGGCGAAATCATCGACATTTATTCCAGTTGCCAATGTATCAATAATCGCAAAGATTTTGCCCAATCTTAGGAGTTTTTGTGTAAAATAACGCAAATTGTTTTATCAAAAGATTTCCATCAGAAATGAACAGGCATTTCAGCTTCGATAGCTATTGATGGGAATGGTGGTCCGCTTCTCTTACCTCAGTGGAGGCAAAGTTTATCCCGCAAAACCAGCTCCCAATTCGGGGTGATGAATGTTTTGTGTTCTTTCTTTGGGACAAAAACCAATAAATCCCATTTCATTCAATCTCCTGAAAACACACAATTGCACATTATCTTTTTCTTTATTTCTGAATTGTTTGTTCAAAAATCTCATTAAGAGTAAAGTTTTCCCAAAAACCCCGAATTCCGCCTGAAGCTGAGAGTATTTTGCTCCTCTTGTCGCTCCTCAATAGACTATTAGATAAACGCGTTGGAACATCAATGGACATCAGCATGAGGGAAACTGACAATTCCTCGTGAAGGTCGCTCCCTCTCGTCCCCCTCAACACGTCGATTTGTCCTCGATTTTTGTTCTTAAAGTTCTACCAAATCCAAGTGGGCGGAGAATTTTCTCTTTGTAATCTAACGAAACCAATTAATATATCTATTGTAGATAATGAGTTATTATGCGAGTGAAGAGGTCCGGCGAGAGTATATTTTATTCGAAAATCGCTTTGAGTTTGAATCAAAGATCTCTTTTCAATCAAAGGAGTCCCTATTAGTCGAAATTAACTAGAATAACGGCATAGATCGGAAAGTACAGCGTTCCGTGGTTGGATCAAACTTAACATGTGAGATCAGAAAAAGCGCAGAAAACTCGTGTGGGTTCGAGCTTTGTTTTGGCAAGCTGAGGAAGAGAATAGTGAAAATGATCGTTAGGGGTCATTGATGTTCATAATTTCACGGAAAAGGCCAGTAGACAGAGGGTCTCGGAATTCGGCTTTAGTTACAGGATTCATTTATCCCCAAACCAGTAGAAGAACTGTAGAAACCCCCCCATTCTCACGAATGCGACAGATGTTGGCTTAGGTGAATGATATGATCCCTAAAAATATTTGATGACGCCTCAGAAACAATTGTGAATGCTAATTTAAGGAGAGGAAGTTGTTGATATGCGATGATAAAGAGGGAGTAGTTTCTAGAGAAGAGATATGGTTTCAGAGAGATGGGGGACATGCTCAGGAAGAAGTATGCTTGAAGTACTCCTGCACCCTGGGCTGTGGAAGGTCCTTTAGGCCCGTAACGGATAAAATCAAATAGCTTCATTATCTATTTAAAATATCCATTACAATATAAAGCACGTCTCAAATTCTTAAGGCACCCTCGATTAATTAAAGAGCTTTGCATTTAGAACAACGCTGCAACTATTCTTCCTTTTCTATTGAAAAGAGCATGTCTTAAAATTTTAACCGAATCTATTTGAAGGAGACTGAGAAGGAATTCAAGGATTTCTCCTCCAAAAGCACATCAGAAACAGCAGCCGTAAAGTGACAATTTTAATTGGAGAGTTACGGGCAGCTAAAAGGATCACCTACTGTTATCATTTCGGGATGGCCCTTCGTTTCATTTCGTTTCGCTTGCTGATGAGTGTAATTTTCACCCTCTTTGCCGGCATTCAAGGCGATCTGCAATAATGAGAAATGGTGGGAATTGCTCAGAAATGACTTTTTCAATCAGCATCCCTTAAAACCAGATCCAACTATCTCCATCGCCAGTTCAGGCAGGTAACATCTGCTGCCAATCCATTGAACTTTCAGATAAATTTTTCTTCTGGCTGTTGGTACTTAAGAGGGCTGAACGCGCCTGTTGGGTGGAGTCTGATACCAAGTCCCGCATTTGCTTAAACATTATATTGCAGCCATACTGAGCAAAACAGTCATCCTTCTCTCTGTATTACTAGTTACTAGTTAGTTCCTGCCTCTTCTACCTATCTCTATAAAGATATGTTGATCCTCCCTAAAATCAGCAGAAGTTGGTTGCAGATAAAGATAATACTGAAACAGATCTATACTGGATCGCCTGAAGGTCACCATCCACTGTACTTGCTGAGGCCTCCTCCCCCCAAAGGCAGGATTTAGTGTCCGTGGGAATATCACTTGTCTCAGAAGAGGAACAACTAGCTGAGAATCCCAGATAGCAGCCGTGACAGCAAGAGCACAGGTGGCAAGAGCCACTTATTCAAATCTCTTCTTCGCCCCGTCCCAAACGCACCGCTTCAGATTTTTCTCTATATTACAGCAGATAGCTAATAAGCCTGAGGATGAGAGACACCTGTTTTCCTCGTTGATACCTTTCGGGGAAAGAAAATTCTTTATTCATTTGGATAAAGAAATTCTCTCAATTTGTTTGCGACATTGACGATAAATTTTCTTTTGAATAATCTGGAGATCAAAATTGGGATGGTCTCGATTGATCGTTTTTTCAGCAAAAATTTATGAATGATTGGAGTATTGAAAATCTCACTCCGACCTGGGTGTCCGAATTTCAAATTCCTCCGGCCCAATCTGTAAAATTCAATGAATACTCGGGAACACTAGACTCCGTCATCTGAAATTATACCATGTGTTGATAATTTGGTTTCTAAAAAAACCATAATTAACAGAATAACAAATCCTTTAACCCTAGTATACGCTTCCCGATAGTTCGCCATCTACAACAACTCGGGGACTTGTCCCTCGCCGACATTTTAATTTTCATTCCATAACAAGTCAGCATCTCTCCGGCTGGCTAGACGCTTTCTTTTCCACGCGGATACAACTAATTCATATCCCAGACCGGTTTTCTTACGACTTTAAATGATTTGGAATTCGTATATCGCTACTTAATGGGGAAATTTTATTTCCTCGATAATATTTTGGGGGAGCCGATGTAGCCGACTTTTAGCAAAATGTTTTAGGTTTGTTTTAACAAACTCAATACGATGATTTAGGCATCAGTGGGGTAAATCCTGTTCTAAGTTTTAAATTAATCAGTTGAATAATTATTGAGAACACGCAAAACAGATCAATTTGAGGTACATCGCCGGTTTTTACCGGCACATTTCTTCCCTTCGTTTCTCAATCTCCGGAGCTTTCCAAGTTAGAACCTTGCAAAAGATTCCCCGCGCTGAGCAATCAAAACCGAGAATCTGAATTTGAACTCAATGAATGAAATTACATTTGGTGATGCTGACTCGATCCAAGAAGAATGAATTCTAAGTTAAACAAGATCACCAGCTGTTCCTTTGACGAGATTTGGCCAAAATGACTGCGAAGACCAGATTCTGTTACAAAGGCGAAACCTTTTAACTCTTTTAAGAAAATATGGTGCCCAACGTGCAGTTTTTCTACTGGTCATACTATCGTTACATTGATAAAGACTGGTGAAAGATATGGGATGTTAAAGAAAACATATTACACAAGAAGAATCCTTTCTCCACTCCAAAGCTCTTTTTCTTTCCTCAATCAACCGAAGAGAATGGTTATTGATCACGAACACAAATCACTTGTTGTAATAAGGAGCTTGATCGAGTCGAGAAGTTTGAAGACGAATGGTTACGACCTTGGGGATGTTGAAACGTTTTCATTGAATCTCAAAACAAGTCCAAATTTCTCCATTGGGCAAAAAAGAAAGCAAAGAAGTCGATTGTTGAGCGTTATTCGCAGAATCAATCTTTCCTATTCTCACCCTGAACCGTGATCGATCTCTTACATGGTGATTGGAAAGCGCTTGAAAGAGCAAAAGAA